TTAACATGAAATTCATTAACAATCTTTGTAAGTATAATAAATTCAATATTTCATATTATTTGCAAAATTGACTTGAATAAACCCCAACGCCCATAATTTATATTTCTTACATTATTAAATCCATAGGATTTAGTGATGAGGCTTTGGAGAATTAACTTTGAGAAAAACGCAGGTTAGAGACTAATTGTGAGATTTTACTTTACACCTCTCAATAAAGATAAAAACATACAAACAAGAATATTATACAATGCAAATTTGAACATTCTATGTTAATGAATATATGGCACGTGCTTAGAACTGAGGTAGAAACTTCGTAAGTCTCAAGAAGTAGTGAATGAGTTTTTAATAGATCCCAAATGAGTTTCTAATAGATCACACTTTAAAAAACAACTATAAAAAAGACACAAAAAATAAGAATAGACCTGATTGCTTCTCCAATAACAATAACAATAATACAAATGAATAGATGAATTCTCTAAAATGTCATACAACAATAAATTACTAATCTATAAGTCAGTAATAATACCGATATGGACTTATGGTATTCAACTATGGGGATGTGCAAGTACGTCCAGTTAATGCACCCCGGTTTGTTTCGAATAACACTATCTATACAGATTTAAACATACTGACCGTAAAAGAAGTAATTAAAAAATAAGCAATTTATACCATACGAAATTGGACCAACATCCAAATTCAGCTATGCAATTAATCAAAATTCATGTTCCAACTAGAAGGCTCAAAAGAAAATGGCCTACTAACCTACTAACTTAATTTAAGCTTCGTTTATTTTACTAACATAGATTATTTATCAACATAGATTTATTTATTAACATTGATTTATTGTTATTAACATAGATTATGTACAGGAGAATCTCTTCACTGGAGAAGACCTTTAAATGACATACTTATTGTTAGTGGATCTAGACTCATAGAAATTTGTTTTCTGATTGTCTATAATAAATAAACAAAAAAGAAAAACAAGAATAGATGAATTCATCGAAACAGTTGAATATAAGTATTCAAATCATATCACATTTGATTTTGCAATTTTAATTTATTCATATTTATTCGAACCTGATTCATCCAACAAAAGTATCGAAACTTCCGCATTCGAGTGTACTAATTCCGAAGCATTCCAACCAATTTATTAAACAATTCTTTGTTTGCCTTCACATTCATCTAGCCTTCATAAAATTCAATACCATTTAATGAATCAATTGCCTGGCAAACTATTACAGCTGCATGTAACACTTCGGCGAAACTTAACAATTAACGCTAATGTATTGTCGCATATCATACAATATAAACGCGATCAACAAAGTATTTGATGTAATACAGGCCATTTGGCGGTTCAGCAACAAATTTTATAATTTAGACATTGAAATACAAGGTTTAGAAAACTATCTTCAATAAAAGCGCCTACAAATTTAACTAGGGCTAATAAAAACTACTATTTAACTAACGCAAAACTAGTGGGGCGCATGGCATCGTGCCTTATTTTTTAAAAAGATTAACATTGGTGAAAAAAATTTACTTCAAACAAATTAGATTTTTGAGAAACTTTAAATTTGACATAAAATAACTTTTTTTGAAAATTTTTTTTTCTTTATTTTGACATATTTTGGAAATTCTGAACTTTTTTTCAAAGCAATCGTACTGCTTTAACTGCGTAAGCGCCGCGTTGCCGTCTAACGAATAAACATTGGTACGGAACCCATAGAGAAATGTAAACAAAATTTAGACTTATTATTAAAATCTCGGTAAAATATCTGATAATTTGATGTGCATATGTCTAATGATCAGTTTTGACCGCCAAATGGCATTTTTTTTACTTTTTTTCACTAGATCTCCGAAACGCTATAACCTGCCTTCATTTGAAATTTGATCAATTCTTCAACTTGTCAATACAAGTAAAATGTTTCTGAATCATTAAAATCGGACGCTCTGTTCTCTTAAAATAGAGGCTTTTGGTTAAAAATTAAAATAATAAAACTATTGAATATGGCATCATGCCTTAAGGCAAATTGCTGAAACTTCCCGAACCATAACAAAATGTTCGAAGAATATTAAACGTTTTGAAATAGATTATTAAATATACTGTAACACTATCTAATATTATTATAGAATTATTCTTATAATTATTAATTATAAAAATTATATAAACTGAACTGCGAAGTTAAAATTAGATTTAAAGTATATAAGTGAGCTTTAGAACTTTAGCCAGAACTAAAATTAAAATCTGAATTATTTTATATACAAAAAAAATGTAATTTTGAATTATTTTTTTACAAAAGCAATTATTTGTCAAAACAAGCAGATAGTTTTTGAATCATTAAAATCGGATGCTTAGTTCTCTCAAACACTGCCAAATTTGCGCAATTAGCTCGGTATCTCTAAAAACGGCTGAACCTGCCTCTGCCAAAAACTAAACACAACTTCTCTAATCATTATAAATTGAATGTTTTTGGATCATTCAAATCGGATACTCTGTTCTCTCAAAAACTCGATTTCTATTTTCTGCACTCTTGCTCTATATCTCCGTAATGCTGGACTGCCTAAAACTAATCAGTACATCTCCCTATCAATAGGAATCGAATGTGTTTTGAAGCATTCAAATCGGTTAATCCGTGTGCCCGAAAACGTGCAACAAAAAATGCGGACACACAAAATGCAAAAAATTCATTTCGATTTTCGGCCCATTATGTAACACCCTATGGGAAGTTAATATGATAGCTTTCTAGATAAACTGAAACAATATATAAATATAATATATGAAATTTGGTATCTACAGTAAATCATATACTGCAATTAATACTTTTCTTTTATAAGCATTTCAAAAAATAATTAATAATATGTTTAGTATATAATCACGCATGTTTTTTCAAAAAATAAAATATGAATTTAAGATGCAATACAAAAACGAATCCGCACAGGATTTATAAAATGTCGAATGAATAAGACACAAAACAGGCGTTATTGCATCTTCTTCTCCATAAATAACCTTTAATTATTTTATTTTGGCAATTGTACCCAGCATCTATATTTGCGTTGATGATAATTAAATCGACTTTACATGTTTAATTGTATGTTGTCATTATAATTACTTGTTGATATAATTTAGAGATAACTTCTAAGTCATGCACAAGGCCTCGAGCAAACTTAATGAATACTGTATGAAGTTATGATCTGTAAATTATACATATGACTCGGTATGATTTGTGGAAAACATAATCATACTGTATATTCTTTATGTTATCGCGAAAGAGTTAAAGAACTCTCAAGGGCATTTGAATTTTTGACCACGTCATTTTAGAACATCTTCAATTATATCGTTTTGTACATTTTCATGCAAGATCTTAAGAAATTCGAGAATTGCAAATATAATATAAAGAAGCACAATATTATTTTTGAAGGAATAGTTTATTATTTTTAAAGGTAAAAGTCAGAAGTTATGTCATTGGCAATTTTGCTACTGCTACTAGACAATATTGTGAAAACCGTAAACGCGTCAAAGAATTAATTGAAATTATTCATTTATTAACATTCCGAAGAATGAGTTTAATGATCTGCAAATTTTATATTTTGTTGAGGTTTTAAGTTAGCAAGATTTTAAATTACTTGATACCAAAATAAAAAAAGTATAGTTATTATCTATAAGCGCGTGAATGTAAAAACCAAAATTTGACATTTTTGATTTCTCAAAAACGGCTACACAAATTTCAAGAATTTGAAATCATTCCATGAATTTCGATAAAGACCCAATCGATTCGATTGATGAGACTGCCGAGTCATTTCTTTAGAATTAGAGTAGACAAGTGCAAATTTTTTCCACATTTTTTGAACCATTTTCTGAACCGATTTTGAAAAAATTAAAAACTGTTCTAAGTTTTTGTTTTTAGGGTATGAATTTTTAATCTACCAATTAATTCGCCTCAAGGTTGGAGGCATTGGTGTTGTCTAGCCGGAACGCGCCGGAAAATCGTTCCGGTACTTTCTTTTTGCACCGGAACGCGTTCCGGAACTATAGATGATTTCCGATAAGGAGAATTGACTGACGTATTAAAAAACAATTAAAAAAAATACTGATTTTTGTATTATTATAAACAAGGGTTTGAACCGGAACAAAAACCTAAACAAACCGACATTTTTCTCCAAACCGTAAACAGGAGTAAGAAACGTTGTTTTCTTCTGATGAACACAAACTCTAACTAAAACGAAATAAATACGAGAACCGGCATTTTAACTTCGTTCCGGTAAAAAAAAATATTGACACAACACCACTGATTGGATGTCCAACAAAGTGTCAATAATTCAAGACGTTAAAGACAAAACTAATTTTATCATTTTTACGAGAAAAAAATTAGATTTTTAAAAAAACATGCAAAACATACCACTGGATCATCATATCAAAATATTTTATTATTATTATTTCATCATTGAACATGAATTTCTTACCTTAAATATGCCTGACATCTGTAATGCACAAAAATTAAAATATAAGTTTAGATTTGAGTCTTGAATTACAAAACTTATTATTCATCGACTTCTAGTATAAAATTATTTTATTTATCTATAACATATTATATGCTTGTTTATTTAATTTTTATTAAATGTAAACATTTTTCATTCACTGTTTACATGCACTTGTAACCACTTGTAACCATTTTGCAACACTAATGTCGTTTTATTACCAACGTAATATTTTTAACGAGAAAGGAAGTGAAGTAAATCTTCTCATCTTGCAACACTACTGTCGTTTTATTACCAACGTAATAAATTTAATGAGAAAGGAAGTGAAGTGAATCTGCTCACTTCATTCATGTTATTTCTTTGGTTGTCAGCGCGGATTTGTCAACCTACAAATTGTTACACAAAGCAGTTAACAGGTTTTTTTATAAATCAATTTGCTAGAAAGGATAGTTTAAAAAAAGTATAAAAGCATTGACCAGAATAGTTATTTGACAGTTTTTTGCCTGTTTTTTGTCACGTTATTTATAACATACTTAATCATGAAATTGTAAATTCTATTAAGCCGCTCTCTGTTTGGCATGCCATTTCCAAATTAATTTGTGATATTAGGATTTTGTATTGTCTAAACATAATTTACTAATATGACAGAAATAAATATTAATGGAAGTTTATATCAGGTCAGTAAATTTAGCACTTCAAGCCATTTCACTCAATAGTATTGACATATTTGCTTGTTGTAGAATCCAGAATGTTTACCTTTGGAAGATCTTAAATTTCAAGTGAATGCAAATGGCGTGAAAAGAGATGTTAAGGCTTTTGTAAGTATTGCTAATTAAGTAATTGTGCATTAACCAATTTGTAAGCATTGCGTTATATATGTGTGTTTATTATTTATAACAATTTCGACAAAACATTGTCACCGATTTGTTTTGTATCTACACCAGTTGGTCAATAGGTTCTTGCTCTGAAAATTTTATATAATTTTGAAGAAAAGCATTAGACAAAGATCAATATAATTGTTACAGAGCGACTTTTGGGTGGAAAACCGTTGCCATTCTCGATATCCTGGACCTCCTAAAACAGGAAGTGCAGAAGATGAACAGTGGCTGAATAGTATGCTATGGTTTAACAAAGAACTAGAATGGATGCTAAATTTGGAACACTTTAGGTTAATATAATGTTAAGAGTAAAAGATTGAAATTTAAACATTTATTGCAATATTACAATATTTATTACCATCCATAGGTTTTGGTCGAACATAGTTTATGATACAGGATGCATGGAATCCTTGATATCGTTTTTACAAGAAGCTTCTCCATTTTACCTTCCGTTTAAACATGAAAGTAAACAAGTTACAGAAGCATATGTTACTGCATATAAAAGAGTTTTGCAAATATTTTGTCGTATCATCACAAATAAGGAAAATGAGGTAGACATAATTCAAAGTAAATAGATTTAATAAAAACTAATAAATTTGCCTTTCACAGGGTTCCTGGATAGGAAAATTATTTTTAGCAAATTTATTATATGACTATAGTTTAATAACTATTCCAATATTGTGGGATCTGATTGCACTTTATGGAGTAAATAATGTGACAATCTTGACTAGATTTATGGAAACTGTATTTAAGTTGCAACCAAAGTATAAAGATGATCTCAAAGTCGCATATTTATTTCTCAAAGAGAAGGTAATGGTTATTTATGTATGTTTTTGTAAAATTTATGCATATTCAAATATGTAACGCTAATCTTAACAACTCTTAAATTTATTTGCTGTTTTAATTTACTTATTCGTAGTTCTCTTTGTTGTTGAAGTTTTAATCGGCTACTTTTTCTAACATTTTATATTGATTCTTATTGATTGATGACATTAATTTTTTTGTTATTTAAAGTTAGTTTGATAAGTTATTTAGATTCTATATCATTAAAGTAATGATATCTGCCAAAGATTACAAACTTATTTTTACTTTACTTCATGACTATAAATTTAATTTTTTGACCTAAAAATTTGGTGTACTTCTAGGTATTTACTACAATTGAAAACCAATCAAGTGCTTTTACTACGACATCAAATTATGTAGGAGAGCAAATAAATTTATATCCTACTTCTGCTGAGACAGCATTAGTTGATTTGGCTTGGCACCTTTTAGATTGTGCTGCCACTATGAGACATTTCTTTGAAGTTTATCCGGCTTCCAAATTAATTTGTCGGGATTTGAAAATATATTCAAGGTAAATGATCATGCAGGTTACATGTAGATTGTGCTCAACAGTTTTAATCATTTTTTAGCATAGCAGTGCTGTATGATAATAGTATACCAATATTATTCAACAAGCTGATTGACAAAAATAATTCTGATATTGTTGACAAAGCAAGGGTTGAACTACTTGAATGTTATAGATTAATACTAAATACCTGTACTGAGGAAGCATTGGCGAATCCGTAAGTATTATGTTCTGAGTAATATATTAATTATATAATGAAAATCAATACATTTTAATGTAGTTGAATCTTATCTGTTATTGTAATTTTACTATTTTTGTTTTAGAGCAAAAGCCTTATCTCCAGCTGATATGTTTTTAGAAATTATTAGTGAAACACTTCATGTGTTACATAATCAAAAAACATTTGTTAGAGACTTGTTAGAGAAGCAGCCACTTCAGAATGATATGGAACTTTTGAGACAAGTTTGCTGCAACTTGTAACCTTTTTTTAGTACTTTAGTTCAAAAATAATCTATTGAAATTATTATAAATTATATATATATCACTAGTAAATACACCAATCTTATCCTTAATGCTAAGATAGAGATCCAGTTAAATGTGATTTTATTCTGCAGTCTCTAATGTCATCAGTTGATGATTCTGATCCCAAGAAAGTAATTTTTCAAGATTTATGTTCATATAATCAATCTCCATCAAAAGATTTTAATGACTATATAAGTGACGATGAAGGTGCATGTGGAGGAGCTGTGAATAATGATAATGATACTAACAATGCAATAGCTGAAGTGTCTGATGTTTTTCCTAATCTAGGAAGTGGATATATTAAAAGATTAATTGACTATTTTGGTACTTCTGAAAATGTTATCAGTGCATTACTCGAAGGTAAAGTTTTGATTTTGTTTATTAATAACCTCAATACGTTCTTAATGATTTTCTTGTTTTGTTTACTTACTTTCAAAATTTATTTAGTTAAGGTGAGTTTATTTTAATTTATTCTATTTTTTTTCAGATAATATTCCTAAAGAACTTTGTTCATTAGACACTTCGGAACCCTACATTCCACCAGATCCTTTAGAAGAATTACATGATAAATTAGGTATACTTCTATTGCTTCTCAATAAGTATGTTTATATGTTTTGTAAATTAATTCCACATTTCTCTTCAGGAAATGCTCACTTAAATGTGTTTGATGGTGATGAATTTGATATGCGAGTTCGAGATGTTCCAAAAGAACATTGGCAAAGTAAACATAAGAGGGGACCTAAAAATTTGAATGAGTTATTGAATGACAAAAGCCATATCAATGAGATCAAGTCCAAGTATCAGGAATATAAGTGTGTTTCTTTTATTTATATTATGTTTATATTGATTAATTTTGATATAAATTTGCTTCACTTTCTTTTTCAGTCTTGTGTATGACAACGTTTATGATGATGAATATGATGACTCCTTTGAAGGTTCTTCTAAACCAATTGCTGAAGACGATGATTCCGAAAGCAATTCTAGAAGACCAACAGAACTACCTAGAGTATTGCGGAAGCAAGTACATAATGATAGTGAGGTAGAATATTTAAATTATATCAAATTACATAAATCGAATTTAATTTGAATTCATAATTTGTTGTTTTTGTATTATATTATATTTCTATGCAGTCAGAGGAAGATGAAGAAGAAGATGAAAATAGTTCTTCTACTCCAGCCACTAAATTTCAACCTTTCTGTGAAAATCCAGAAATTATTCGTGCTCGTAGAGAAGCACAACGGAATAATAAACACCCAAAGTTTGTATTGATAATTTTATAATAGATTAACATTAGTTTATATGACAGTTAATTGATTATGATGTAGTGTGATTAGTTCATGATTATGTTCAAATATTTATATTGATATCAAATTATTCCTACTTTTTTCAAAACATTTCAGTCGAGATGTGGTGGGAAAACCTAAAGGGCATGGACAAGAGAAAGATGTAACTATTAATCGCGATAAGAAAAATACTAATAAATCGACAAGAGCCAATCACAACAGGAGGCAAGGAGCTGCATGGAAGAAAAGCCGTGGCATGATGCCATTTTAATGTAATATTTTTTTTGTTCTTCTTGACTGAAATTTATCTTTTTTTACATATTTTATTATCTGCGATATTCACATTGAACAAGCAATATGGCTGTTAACAATGATTTATTTCAGTACTAATTTAACATTAGATCATTATGGTCACAGATTATTATAACTATAACAGTAAGTTGTTATTGTATGCCTGCGAAAGGTATACATATTTTGAATTATAATTACTGTTAATTCTATCACAAATGACAATAATGTTAACTCATGGAGTTAAATTTGTTAGTGAAATAAATATTTTATAAACTAAGAAGACTGATATTTAGAACTTTGTCTTGTGAGACATGGTTACATATTTGATGTCATGTTTGATTCCACTCGTGAACACTCTTCATTTTATTGATTTTATTAATTTGTTTTTTCATCACTATTTGGTTGATAAACCAGTGCTTCCGCTATTGTTAGAAATTTGTGAATATTTTCAATTTTCATATCCTTACAAAAAGTATAATAAAATCAATCAAAGAATTATCAACTAAATAATTACCGTTCATACAATTTTTCCGTCTGGGTTAGATCCGCCATATGATCAACCTGATATCGAGAAGAAGCGATTTCTATTTTCATCTGAATTTATAGATCCAAAATAAGTTTTCAGGTAACAATAGACTTTTCAGGGTATTGTTGCATCAAATTAAAAATATATGAGCAATATTAGGCTGATCATTGGGTTGCTAACTAAATACTGGCTGAAAAGGAGAAATTCAAGCACAGTAAAAATAAGAATATAAATTTTTTTTCGTAAGATAATCCGGTTGTTTTCAAATACTTTTTACAACTGATTTCATTGGTCTAAATCTATTGAAATTTGAAGTTAAACCATATGCTGGAAGGTTCATAGAGAAAGCTTATATTGTACAATAACATTTACAAAAGCATGCTGCAATAATATTCATAAATAATGAAATGAATTTTTAACTTCTAGAAGGAGAAGTTTATGTTTTCATAAAAGAATCCGATTGCTAATTTTATGTTTTCTCGAAGTTTCGCTATTCTGAATCGATTTTGAAAATTCAAAAACTGTTCGAAACATATTGGTTGGAAATCGACCTGATTAGTTTTTGGTAAAGATAGGCCGGGCCGTTTTCTTGTAATGAGGTGTTAAAAATTTTTTTGTTGACGATTTTCACGATTTTTTTTTGGCGGTAGATACCATAGATCATACTAAAATATTACGGTCCTACGAAAAGTCGTTTAATTTAAAAAAATCGTCAAAGTTTGCAAAAATTAGTGACGCTTTTTTGGCGTTTGTCAAAATTACAACTTTCATCGACGTTTTCCCAAAAACGCCTGAACCGATTTCAAAAATTTGAAAGCCAATCGATGTATTTTGATGTGGATTACTTGAACTTCCCGATATGTATAAATAATCGATTTAATCAATAAAAATTAATTAATTTATGAGTTATTAAAAGTATTCCGAATGGATACATTACAAATAATTGAAAACGAACGAACACTCTATCGTTATACCAAGTAAATTGTCTAATTTTAATTTTAACAAACGTCAAAAAAACTACTCATTTTCCCAAACTTTGATAAATTTTTAGAATTAAACTACTTGTAAGGCCGAAATATTTCAGTAAGTTCTATAAGACCAGGATATATATCGCCAAAAAAAAGTTCCATAAAAATCGGCTTAAATTTTTTTTTCAACAGTGAATTACAAGAAAACGGCTCGATAGATTTTCAACTAAAACTAATCAGTATCATTCCCAAATGATATCTTTCGAACAGTTTTTCATTTTTGAAAATCGATTCGGTAGTATGAGCTTAAATGTGGACGAAAAGTTTAACACTTTTTACCAATTTACAAAGAAATGGCTCGGCCGATTGCTGCACAAAACTGACAATTCATATTTATATTATATAAATATAAATTTCTCTAATCACAGTAATAAAAGTTAATTTACGAAACTCTGATACAAAATTGAACTGTTCCGGTTGCTTTTGCAAGAAAAACTTTCGAGATTTTTTTTCCTACACATGTGCAGTGGTGGAACATAATCCTTTATCAGTAATTACGGAAAGGATTCGAAAAGGACAAAAATGCCACACGTGCGCATTGTAGTCGACGCACGTGCATTATCCGCGAATTTCGGTATCAGTTGGTTGGGGAGTCAGTAGTGCTGTGATACAAGCCGTAGCTACTGCTACGTCCGCGTGCGACTACTAACGGCCGTTAGTCGATGTCCGTCCGTTGATTAAAGCACGAATTTGTCGAGTGGCAAATTTGGTTTTTATCCAAAATTACCAAAAAATAATAATTGAATCATCACGCCGGTTGATTGTGACATTATCTAAAAAGTGTTTGTAAATGCCCATGTTTTAGATTTCTATTGGAAATTTGTTGTTATTTAAAGTAAGATAAGTTTACTTTATTTAAGAAAGATAATGTAGGCTTCATTACTATATATTTTAGTAAGTACGCATAAAAGATTCTTATTTTTGAAGGATAAGGAAAGTGATCTCACTGCACTAGAAGTTTTCCAAAGATTTTGGTCTATTTGTTTATGCATGATTTTTAACACTTGAATATGAATGTTGTCATATTTAACGAACTTGTTTTCTTAGTTGATCAGTAGTTTCATCACATTTTATTCACTTTTATTAAAATTTCTGAGCATTTAAAATTAAAATGACAGTCAACTTAATTTGCATGATCTTAAGACCAATTATGCTCACATTTTTATATTTAAAAAGTAATTTTAAATGATTTTATAGTCCAGTCATTAAAGTAAGTTCACCTCGGAATTCGAGATGCCCAACTCTAAGTCTGTAAATACTTGTATATTGACACCCTAGAGTTGTCTCAAAAACTACATATGGTATTGACACCCTACCATATGTAGGTTTTGAGACAATTTTAGAGTATCAATATACACTACATATGGTATTGACACCTTACCATATGTAGGTTTTGAGACAACTTTAGAGTATCAATATACAAGCATTTACAGACTTACAGCTGAGTATTTCGAATTCCTAGATTCTTACCTAATTTAAACTCAAATGACTATTAATCACTTTGAAATAATGAGACTAAGAGTAACGCTTATTCGAAATAATTGATTTATCTTCTAATTTATTATATTATTTGACTACTTAAATATTATTAAAAATAACGTTTTTTGTTAATTTGCAACCCAATTCATTATTTTATTTCAATAGTAGTGATTTCAGATTCATTATTTAAAATTTACCATACATATAATTTGCGAAAAAACTATTAATGTTTAACTAATGATAATTAGTAAATATGAATATTATACATATTGGATACATCTCCTGTAATAAGTCCGACTTTTCTAGTAAAAAAATCAGTTAATTTTTGTATAATTTTCAATTAGTCTCAGAAATAACGTTTAAAAATCCGAATAATATATATGCTAATTGAATAATCTTATTTGATTTGTGTGATTTTTATCATCTCAATTTTCTTTTTTATTTCTCAAGAAAAGATACATAAAGTTTTGTGACTTTCAAAGCTGGTAATAATCCTCAAACAGAATACGATTAAATTTGCAAATAAATGCGAGAAAATACAAAGAGAAATGGGGGTTAAAGTAATACGATAATTTCTGGAAGTGTCGAATACAGCCTGATGCTGAATTTATTATACAAGGAAATATACAAGGATATAAAATAGTTGAATAGAATTTGTATTTTCGATATATGGAAACTGAACGTTAGATTTCGAAGGAAGTCGTTGTAAACTTGAATTGTTGCCGGGCGACCTGATTGTGACCTATTTCAATAGTATTTTTCATCTTTAATTTACAATGGTATAAAATACTTTACTTGCTACCATTTTCTGGGTATTTCTATTTTTTTTTATTTCATGCTATAAAATTTGAGCCTTCTATAGAATTGTTTCTGAAACATGGATAATTACTATAATATATAATCAGTGGTGATGTGTTTTTTTACCGAATCGCGTATAATTATATACACAGAGCCGATCCTGGGCAGACAGATGTTCCTGTCCAAAGAGGAAGTGCCGGAACGACGTTCCGGAGCTTTCCGGCTCCATAACACCACTGTATACAATATGTTGAAATGATCTGATTTAATATTTTAATAATTAGTATATGTAATTAAAACCTGCAATAGCTTATAATTAAGCCTTAACAGTTCTGTTTAAGACCTTATTTTATAACACAGGAACACCTCGAAGATGACTATAATGCGGATCGAATACAGAGAAATGCGTAATATATTTTTTTTATAATAATCGCATTTGAATTCTTTTAAACATTTATACATATAATTTTTATTATACCCGTAGTTTATTCAGTAAGTGTTTCAGTTTATCGTTTAGTTTTCCGTTTCTGCAGAGTGCCTGTAACATTCACAGATTTTTTTTGGACAATAAAATCTTTTTAATAGAGCAGTGTATTTATATTTTTGAACTCGATGAGTTAAAAATATTTCAATTCAGATAGCCAATATATGTGATAAGAAACATTATACGAGTTCATAAGAACAAATGAAGTTAAGTGAAAATAAATATAAAAAGTAGAAATTTGTTTGAGTTTCTTCACCAATGTTGGATATTATGGTATAATTTACGAACTTCCTGAAAAGGAAGTTTTTGTTTTCGCGAAAAAAAAAAACGATCTGCTAATTTTATATTTTTTCGGCGTTTTAAGTCATTCTGAGTCGAATTAGGTCTAATTGAGTCGAAATAGTGTGTGTGTGTTTATGTAAGCTGATTTTTGACCCTTTGTCAATGTTTATCAAAAACTGCTGGGTCGATTTCGAAAATGTACAAGCCATTCGATGCAACTCGATAAGAACTAGCAGAAATGTGTATTTTATTCGCCCACGTTTTAGCCAAAATTTTTAAATTGAAATTGAATCGAAATCACGTTGATTCATTTTCGGTAACGGGCCGCTTCTTTGTAATCAAATGTTATAGTTGATAATTACACCGCGAACTTGACTAATCAGAATCTGTGCCGAAATGTGAAAGAATATGTATGTTCTTTGGTGTCTAGTATGTAGCTACTGATTGCAGTTGATGTCCACACTTTAAAATTAATTTGTAGAGCACTAACGCATTTTTGAGAACATACTATCTGTTTAAAT